GTGGGGATTCTCCCAGAGCCCTTAATAGTGTCCACAGTATAATAAAAAAACTCCATTAGAACCATGTGCATCAAGATTTATTGCTCATTTTCACTTAATTCTGTAGGGACACTGGGAACTGAGTTAGCTAGACAAAAATGTAGATCTTGGAAAAAAGCAAGACAGTTAAATAAATCCCCTGAATTTCAGTAATAAAATTAGGTTAGAGTGTTAGGCAGCTGCCATCAGCTGCCTTTTAAGGAGGCTTAACAAACCACACAGGGTTTTTTTTAACCCCTTTATGTTTTATCTGAATGTTGAGTAAACATCTGAGGTCTACAATGCATGTAGGCTGTGTGAAAGATTAATGTGCAAGAAATAAGCCTCATTTATGTACATCTGGAAATAATTATTGCACACTTAACCATGGGTATAAATATTGTCATAATTCCAACCAGGAAGGCACAGGAAGCATGGGAGCTCATTAGCTTTTCCCCTTTAGAGAGACAGGTTCAGAACTTGTTTTCCAGTAAGAATGCAAAGAGTTTTGTTATTCTTGTTTATTTACCATGTGCTTGAGTAATCTTGTAACCATGGGACCTGAGACCATCTTATTCTGATTTTTTGGGAGATACATCCCACCTCCATTCTTGCTGTTTTCCCTCTCACTCTGGCAGCCCTTCCATCCATCCATCCATCCATCCATCCATCCATCCATCCATCCATCCATCCATCCATCCATCCATCCATCACAGCAATGTGCTGGCACCCTGCAGTCTGCAAGGGCAGACTGCACAGGCTGTCTGACTGGCTGCCCTCAGCTCAAAGCCACTGCAGGAAGCTTCTCTTAGAACTGGGGCAATGTTCAGTGTCTGAAACAGCGACCTGAGTGTCGTAATTCAGACACTGTGAGCAAAGCCTGCATCCACTGCCCAGGGCCATCTGCCCCTGGGGATCTGGAGGAGCAATGGTGGAGGGAGGTGGCACAGCTGGGAGTGCCTGAGGGCTGACACTGACCTCAAGGTTTGCATGACAGCACCCAGAGAAGAGATCTGCACAAGATCTGGGTTATCACAGAACCACAGAATGGTTAGATTGGAAGGGACCTTGAGGATCATCTAACTCCAACCCCCTGCCACAGGTAGGGACACCTTTCACTAGACCAGATTGCTCAAAGCCCCTTGAATATTTCCAGAGATGTGGCATCCACAACTTCTCTGTGCAACATGTCCCAGTGCCTCACCACCCTCACAATAAAGATGTTCTTCCTAATCTTATTTTAGCCTACTGTCTTTCATAAAGCAAATAGGAGGGGTAAAAAGAATTACTGCATTTTGAACAAGAGAGATTGACCCCTCAATGGTGTGCTCTTTTTGCATGCCGCTAGAGATAAGTAAGTGGACATGGAAACACCTGTAACCTTTCCAATCTTTTCAGACATTGAAAGATAGTGCTGACAGCAGATTCCAAAAATTGGTAAGAGAAGCACTATTGACATAGTCAGAGCAGCATATGGTCTCCTTGTTATCCGGTCATTCCATCCTGAGTACACCCTTGTGCACAAACAGTGCTGGAAATGAACACTTTGTAGTGGTTGTGTAGTAGGTGGCTTAGAACAAGTTGTTTTAAAGGGTGTGTTCTGTATTCAAGCTGCACTTGACATGACAAATCTTCCTCTTATTTTTAAATGCAACACCAGCAAGGACATGCTTTGGCCTCATTTATTTCCTTCAAGAAGCAAAAGCAAAATGTGGAAATTTCTTGATCCTGCTGCAATCCATCAAAAACAACAATTATGCCCATGGTCTTTCAGGAAGAGACATGAATGTTTTCCCCTCAAGGCATCTAAAATGTTGGATCAAATTTAAAATGAGAAGGATGCTATCTCATGAAATAAAATAAAACACCAGGAAAGACACATGAAGGGGTTAAGTGGCAGGGTCAGAAGTAAAATGAGAGCCAATGTATTGATTTCATGACTACAAAATGATGGGTTTCACAGCAAGGATTTATTACTCTGCACTTCACAGTCTGGAAAAATAAAAGCTTGGTTTTAATCTCAGTTACAAAATTAAGATATTAATTCATAGTTTCCTTCCCTCTCCCCCAGAGTTGTATACTTAAGCCTGGATTTTGATTTATCCTGTAACAGAAGTAGAATCTGGCATTAAAATTTGGATCTTGACCCAAATGTACTACAGAACTGGGGCATATTGAAAAAAGATGAGATTGTGATAGTCTGGCCTCATATTCTGGGGTCAGGTTTTTGATTACATGTGAAAACTGGGAACAGATCTTTCTGTATGCTGGTTTGCAATATGTCACAAGAGAAGAGAGTGGTCATTTGATCATGAACAGACAATCTCAAATGTCTGAACTGCAAAATCCCCACTCTGACCTCACAGCCCACTGTACTGCATTACATTAAAGTTCACCTGGTCATGCATACAGAAGATGTTTGTTCATAAATGTTGTGTGTGTGCACAAAGATGGTGTTTATTTGTCTCCTTCAGCTATTCCAACTATTGTATATGGTAGAGAAATATCTCCTGAATCTTTCTTTGCTGAGATCACAGTTTTTCCCCTTTAATTTTTAGATTAAGAAGAGCTGGTAACTGTGTCCTTGTCAATAAAAATAACTCCTGGTAACAACATGTATGAGGTGAATTATTTGTTAATCTTCCGAAAGAGCAAGGAGCACAAAGAGGATGAGATGGAGCTGCAGAAAAAAAAAGTGGCATGAAGGCCACGATTTCACCACTAGAGAGTGTAATTTTACTACATAATTTGACCTTTTCTGCTCCTACAGAGAAACTGATTCAAGGCAATTAAGTTAGAAATATGTGATATGTTGACTAAGATTGACTGAAGTACTTTCTTTAGGTCTTTTATCAAAATGAAAATCAAATGCTTGGAAGATAAATGCATTACTTCCTCTGTGCACTACTTAGCATGAGTTTCAGGTGGCGTTTTGCAAAGTAAGATGTATGTAAATTGGAATAAGAGCTTATATCAAACTTATCCTCGAGGCAGATGGTTATGCATTCAAATTTAAATTTCAAGCATTTTAATAAATTTAGTCAGCCAAAAGGCATTTATATGTATTTTTTAATTTTGTTTTCAACTCTCTGTGTTCTATCACTATGCTTTCCCCATGGGCTGATGGTGCAATTTTTACTTCAAAGACAGATTAAAAAAAATTCTGCCTTTGCTTCTACTGGTATGACTCCCAAAGTGCACTGTGAAAGTCACTGCTGTCCCATGGCTTAATGAGAAGCAAACCAGGCATGTAATGGTTAAAGAAATAGGGGAAATGAACCTCTCACTTACATGTGCTCCCACTTCTGCTTATGGATGCATAACTTTGTCATGAGGCTCACATGGGGATTCTTCACTGACTGCTGCAGTCTGCCCGTGGTGGCGGCTTTGGGTCTCTTTCAGTGGTCACACAGTCAGGCCTCAGGTCATATCTCACTTGTTAATGCCTGGGACTTCTCTGCCTTGCTGCAGCCTCACTCCTCCTCACTGGGCTGAGAGATGAAGCCATGGCTGGCAGCCAGAAGCAAGAACTGGCACCTGCAGGACCTGCTGGAGGGCAGGAGCTCTGAGGGAGCTCTGGAAGCCTGGGGCATGGGTCTAGCCAAGACTGACGCTGGCAGAGAGATGAGGGTTCTTGGGTCACCTCCTATGGCCACTGTTAGATGATGGGAGGAGCCTGTGAAATGCAGAGGCACAGCTCTTGGGCTGAGGATGAGAAAAAGGTGCAGCTTGGCATCAGGCCCATGCACAGCCGTAGCAGCCCATGTTCAAACCAAGCTCCAGATCAGTTAGAATGACCAGAAGGGTCACTGAACCTGAGCAGGAATAAGGCTGCTGAGTATACCCCAGTAATCCATGGTTAGGGGATCATTAATGGCTCCTCTGTGTGTGCACCAGTGTGGGTACAAAAAAAATCTACAGCACTTGCACCTGCAATCTGGCAGGTTTAAGAACAAGCTGACTGAACTGTGTATGCAGAGAGTCTGTCCCTTGCCACTCATCTCCCACACAGTATATTGGGGAAGAGTTTATATGACAGTAGGTTCCTGTAAGCACTTAAATGCTGTGCACAGGAACCTGGGAAGGGGTCATCGTATATGCTGAGATCTGTGAATGTGGCTACACCTCTAACAATGTCCATGAGTGTATGTCTTAGCCCTGACGCTAGTGAAACAATTGGTTTTGAGTGTAACTGCATTTATTTTAGCTGAGTTTGCTGTTGGGGTGAATCTGACTAAGTTTTCCCTGCTGGAATTTTAAAACTTCGCAGTGTATTGAGATATATGTAACCCAGAACATCTTTTAGTGCTTAAAAAGTTTTGCTCCATTCTCTTTTCAAAACAAAGCTGGTATAAACTTACATGTCACATACACTAAATGCAGCAATTAACTCAGTTATAGCATGTTCCAAAGAACATGTTGTTCTGTGACTGACCATTGAAATACCACACCAATTATGCTCAATTCATGTATTCATTTAGGCAACAAAAAGCATTTAAGAAAGAATGGGTATTTTAAGTGAGTTTTATATGGTTTCCATGGTGATAGTACTAAAAAAAATAACAATAGTCTTAAATATGTTTTCATTTAGAATATCTTGAAAGAACTTGTTTGGTTCTGACATGCTGTGTTTATGCTATAATTTGTTCCAAATCACCGATTATTATAAAATGTAGGAAAATTGGTGTGGCAGTATTGTTCAAACACTTTAACAGAGCACCAAAATAGTTCAAAGCTTGTTGCTCAATATTTTTATCCCAGCTGACATGCACATTAAAGTGGGAAAAAGTTCCAAAAGGCAGTAACATTATGATTTAAATACGGTGCCACGGTTTTGCATTAGGCCATCTTCCAGAGTACATTTTGCTCTTGCTGTTTTATTATAGAATTCAGGAGCTTATCAAGAGACAGCTAAACTTTGTTGGCAGCTTCTCAGGAACACACAGCAGTTCAAAACTGGGAGTATTTGCATAGCAGTGAGGGGTTGGGGGAACAGATTGCACTGATAGCTCTTACTTTGGCCTTTCTCTAAAAAATTACAGGAACCACATCCTCCTTGAGCCCACCTGAGACAGACAGCATAAAGAAATGGTGAGATATGGCAATGAGTGTGAAGTAAGGCACAAGGATCTGAGGGGGATTTTTGCAATAGAGATTTTCAGCTTGAACATCAGTGTCCTGGTTTCAGGCAACTATTTCAGTTACTACTAACTTACTACAGGATGGAAGCCTCCTGAAAGGCACTACTGCCTTTTGAAGCAAGAAAAGTGAGCCAGGACTTGTTATGCTTGCTGGGTTCAGCCAGCAGAGATATATGGTCAAAGCTATTCTTTCATTTAAATTTAGTGATATTTTGCCTTAGTCTTTGTTTTCTGAATTAGGAGCAGCATACTGGTGAAAGTCATACTTTGCACTAAAATTGTCCTTCTCTGACTTCCAGGTGACCAAAACTAACCAAGTCTCTCTGAGATGATCTGCTGCCTCCACTGAGCTTGGGAACAGCAAGTGCAAACAATTTAGAAAAGAATGGTAATTCCCTAAAGCCTCAAATTGTTCTCTGTTTCTGAATTGGTCTCTGGCAGTGCTAATGCCTCCCATGGTAGGGGGGATGGCAGCCTAAGGAAGCACATCTTCCTGAGCTCCCTCTTGAGCAAAGGGATGGGAACAGCCTCCCCCAGAAGGCAGCCAGGAGCACCCAAAGCTTGGTTTCTGTGCTGGGTGGCCCTGCAGAGGTGCCCATCTGACTCCAGCCATAAGAGGTGCTCATCTGACTCCAGCCATAAGAGGTGCTGGAAAGACCAGGCTTACTGTGATAATGTTTATAACCACCACCCCTCCACCCATACAGGCTTCAAACCCTACCCAGAGCCAAGTCTCTGGGCTTTAGATGAAGAGGAGAGCAAGGTACCTCTGAAAAATGAATGGGGGTGAGTATTAAACAACCTAGTCTTGGACTCTCAACTGAGGAATGAGGTGGGTTTAGGCTTTTTGAAGCTTTGGCTTTCACTACATTGTGTAAGGTGGCAGCATGCATGTAAAATCCTTGTATACTTTTCAAAAGTCAGCGAAGACTAAGTTATGCTGTTCTGTGAATTGTAAATACTGCAGCCACAGTTAGCTTCCAAGTCACAGAGCAAGCTGAATGACATCTGGACTCTGAGGTAACCTTAGATGAAAATGCTCCTCCTGTGTTCAGCTCAGTCTTCTTGGAACCTGCTCCTCCATAAATGTTTAATAAGGCACAGTAACTGTAGATACTGGTCAGCTGGGATATGGATGCTTTTGTTCATATGCAACTACTTTGAAAAATTGAGATAATGCTAGGAAGACAACTGTGCTTGAACTGAGAAATGTTTGTGGTTATTTTTCCTTGACTTCCCTTCCATATTTCAATTTTGGCTGTCTTTCCTCAGGTCTGCATGGAAATCTGCACTTTCCAAAAAGGCTGAGTACAGCTGTGTATAATTATGTGCAAATGCACAAGGGTGGTGGTTCAGGAAAATGTGTGCCTGATGTGTTCTGAGACAGCATGAGAGGAAGCAGAAACAACCATTACTCCTGCAGTACCAGCTTCTTTCTGGAAGGAAGTTTATGCTTAGGGAAGGTATTCAAATACTGCTGTTCCAAAGCTGTGTCTTTAAAGCACATTTATTCAGGGTCTTCCAGAGAGAAGCCTAAACTTACTTTTACATGAGATGTTGGATTTTAGCTGATGTACTTCAGCTTTCAGTTTTGTAAGCAGAGACTTCAGCTCATACAGGAGGCTTGCAACTTGCTGCAGAGAATGTGCTGCTGTTACTGGGTGAAATTCTCCATCCAACTTTGGTTGGAGGTCAAACAGCCAAATCAGATGATTTTTGCCATAATTTCTTTTCTCATATTTTTTTTTTTAACTTGGAAAAAGGAAGCAGTGATCACAGTGATTTCAAACCATTTCTAGTTTTCTGTAGCTCCCTGGCCTTGGCCACAGGCTCTGTGTGAAATACTGCTATCTTGGCTCAGGTTTTCCAGGCAGTACATTCTCTTTAGACAGAGTCCACCACTCTTTCTGCACACAGGTCAAAGAAGAATTGTAGCAAAATTACTGGAGGGAGCTGTTGAGAAAAAAACCAAAACAGACTAGATTTTGTCTCTCTTGAGAAGCATCTTTTGTTTTCCTTCAGCAGCCTGTGCATCAGTGAAAATGGCCTCAGTTAGGGATAGATTTAAGTCAGATCGACATGTAGCAGCTCTAGGAGTTGCACCTATGAGCAAAGCACAAAAATCTTCAAGAGAACAGTCTGTTAAGTGTCAGAGGGTTCCAGGGACTCAAATGAGAACCTGTGCTGCTAATAACTGGCTTAGCTGAGAAGCATCTGAGGATTTACAAACAGCCTTTTCTTTCTTTTATAGCAGGAGAAAAAAGGAAAGCTGTTATACTTCAAGGGCTGCTCTGTGTGTGTGGTCTTTTCCTCACAAAAGCTTACCTGAAAAGTGTTATGTTCATAAGCATCCTGCAGCTATTTTACCTTCTTTTTCTTGGCTGTAGTTCTAATACAACTTCTGCCCAAGGATCAAAATGTGCCACACACGAGTAACTGCTCAGGCAGCAAAGTGGGTTATCTCAGACCACATAGCCAGCAACACACACAGGGTTTTCCACTCCTGTCTCTAATGTAGACAGCCTCTGCCTGGCATAATGCACTTTGCTGTAGAGAAAACCGACACACCTTCAATGGCTGATGGTGATTTGCAATTAACTGTAAAGTGCAAAGCAGCTGTCCTAATTACAACACAGGGAAAAAGGGCTTTTAGATCTTCACATAGCATTGTACATACCCTGAAAGTCCCTGAATTATATATTCCTTTGGAATTACTTGCTGTCTAGTTACAATCGGCAGAACTTCCTATAATGACACACCACTGTTTTCTTATCACACCTAAAACTACATGGTAAATGGTCTTTCTGTTTTGGTTCTAACAGCTTCATACACAGGTGTCTACAAGCTTTATTTTTTCTCTTCTTTCACAGAACCCCAAAATGAGCAAGGTTGAAAGAAATTACATTGGATCACCTCCCTGCTCAAGAAGGGTCATCCTAGAACACATTGCACAGGATTGTGTCCTGATGGTTCTTGAATATTTTTTTACTGGATAGCATCGCAGTGTTGTGCTTTGCATTTAATGCTGAAAGTAAACAGCAAGTAGATGAAAGTAACAAGCCAAAATATGAAATTGCATTTTTGTCCTTTTCACTGTCTTTCAAAACTATTTTAAGTTTTATTCTATTAAATATTGTCACTGTTGCTTTCTGTTTTACTTACCATTGTGATGGGTTGAGAGGGCAGATCAGACTCTGCATCAAACCTTTGAAATCTTTGCATTTGGCAAGAAGCCATTGCAATGACTCTCAAACAATTCAAGAACAGCCACTAGCCTGATACACTCAGAGCACAATGAGTGAGTTTGTGGGTGCACCCACCACTGTGCAGATGTGCTTAGGGCTGTGTGTGTGCTTTGGGCTGTGTAGGTACCTGGTTTATCCTGCCACATGCAAGAAAAAGCCTGTGATCAGGTACACCCAGAAGCTTGTACAAGAGGTGTGGACCACTGCCAGGCCTGTTCCTCTTAAAAAGTGCTTGCAAGATAAATAAGCAAAACTATTATGGTACAGATAATATGGTGATACAGAAGGGAAGACAATGGACTTGTGGAGTCCAAGGCTGCCTTCTCTTTAATTTGGCCACTTACCTTGTTTTTCATTTTGCCAGTACAGAAGAGGCAGTACTGTGATAAACAGAAAATAAGTTTACATTTCATAAGGGAGCCTGAGTTCTCTAAGAACACATTGATTCAGCCCAGCAGAGAATTTTACATCTCTTCTCACTCATGCCATTATCAGTCCTCCAGAGCAGTGCATTGTTACCCTTTTGCAATATAGAGCACTGATTGTTTTTGAAATGTTGGTGCAGTTTGTCAAAGCAATGAGGTTGTTCTCATTTATGAGAAGATTTCTTTCTACAACCAGATTAGTGCAGAAGTGCAGAGGAAGCTTTCAGAAAGCAATAACTGAAGCTCAGTGCCTTTAATGGGCCTGTATTTTTTAAGATTAGTGCACATTACTGTCAGCAATTTTGTACCTGAGGAATCATACAATACATTGCAGGAAAACACACTAAAGCCTTAGAGGAGAAAGGAATAAGTGGAACTGTAATGGTTATTGGCTTTCTATTGTCTATCTTTAAGAAAATTCCTCTTTGTGACATCTCTATCCCTACCAATATTCTCCAGCAGGCAAACTATTTTTGTCTATTAATCATATATGTGCTATCAAGATTGACTCCTTTGTTAACAAAGCAAAAATCAATGAAGCTGAAGTGAGGGATAGTTTGGTTTCTATTAGAGTTTCAGCATGATGCAAGATGAGTTTTATTTTACTAATTAACACATCTGAGTCTGAAATTCTGGTGATTTTTGCAAGGGGAGAATTTATTGCTTTAATAATCATACTGGGTTTTCCTATTAAAAAAGAATAATTTAGTCTTCCTATGTTTCTGTGTAAATTTCAGGGGGAAAAATGGTGAGGTAGGAGATGTGGCTGCTAAGTGCTGCAGGCAGGGGTGATTAGTTTTGTACTTATTTTTTCAAGTGGTGCATCATGATATCAAACTTGCTAAACACTCTTGAGAGCAGGAGACAGGGAAAAAAGGCTTGTAAACCCACTCACATACTTGAAATTATATTGTCAAAGTTTCCAGCCTTTGGAGTCCCTGAAAATGATAGAATATTATTGGGAAATTATCTTGACTGTTTTCTACAGGCCTTCAGATACTATAAATTACCATCTTCCTACAGTAGTAGCAGTTTATATCACTTTAGGGTTTGTTCTCTGCTGTAAACCAAACCACCAGACTTCTCAGTTCAAGCAACTTGCTATTTAAAGGTTGGGTCTAAAGTAGTGGTCACAATATGAACAATCCCTATTTAATTCAAGCTCTGTGTGTGTGTTCACTCATCAGAAAACCTGAAATCACTTAAGGCTTCTCTTCTTTCTGACCAGTAACACCACCAGACAATTATTCCTGAAGAGAGATCCCTCAAGGGGAGGCTGACATCTGTGCCATGTATTGACTGCTCTGTTAGGAGCCTACTGTTATATGCAGCCCATGTCTGATCAGATTTCATGTGCCTTGAAATCCAGACAACCTGGAATGGGACACTCTTAGGCAGTTAAATGACATCAAATATTTAAACATAGAGTTTGACAGCATCCATTAGGTCTCTGAAAGAATCTCTCCTTGCTATCAGAAGTAACCACACAGCTTAAAAATTGCATGATTTTTACAATCAGTAGCACTTTCTACTTCCTATGTCCTCCAAGAATAATTTTTCATGGTAGTTTCCAATGTATCCACAATACAGCCAGCATTTTCCATGAAAGTTTCTAATTCTATTTCCACTGAAGGCAATGTCACCAAAATTAGTTTTGTACTAATTTGAAGAGAGGAAAGAAAGGAGAAGGGATCAAATAATTTGTAGTACAGAGATTTTGAACAAACCTGGATGAAGCAAATAAAAAATTATATCAATTTTTCACTAGAATTTGAGTGCATCAAATTCTAAAAATTTGCAAAATACTTTATTGCAAGGCCTCTTTGGTCTAGTACCAAGTTACCAAGAACCCTGGAAGGGAGGCCAGCAGTGCACTGCCAGCTAGTAGAAAGAATTCCAACACAAAGGAGTTATGAATAATTTTCTTGTATCCAAGACTGATTTCAATGGCAAAGCTGAGGGCTGCAGCCAGGTTTTGTGACAGTCAGTGCTGTCTTTAAATTGGTAATGTTGTCTTCTATTTCTGGAAAATACCACAGTATCAGCACTGCTCCAGTTTGGCTCCAGCTGAAATCAGTTAATATTAAGTCCATACTCCATATACATAGTAATGATACCATATTCCAATGGCATTTTACCTTCCTAGAAAAATCTGCACCACTCTAACAATGATGAAAACCCTCTGCACTGTGCTTTGTCTGATTTCTGATTTTTCCTCATATAAATATTTATCGAGAAATATTTATTCAAGAAAGAAAGATTCCTTTATGCACATTCCACTGTCTGCTCTTGAAAGCTGCTCCCTCCTAAGGTTTTGCAAGGCTCTGAAAAAACTCAACTTTCACTGTGTTTGCTACATATTGTTCTCACATTTAGCTCTAAATTATTGTCCTGATAAATTTTTCTACTTCAGAAATTGCTCATCTTTCTTTATTCTGTTCTCATTTAGGCCATTTTTACTTTGTGGTCACAACAGGATGAAAGAAAGCAGAGTTAATTGCATGATATTATAATTTTTGCTGGATCTTCAGTAGTCTGTTGATGTGACATTGTGATAGCTTTGAAGTAACTTGCATGCCAAATTAAAAAATGTTTCTTTCAGGGGATGTTGACATAGAACATTTGTACACAAAATGATGCTATACCAGAAAGTGTGCTGTTATATGATGATAGCAAATAAAAGAATGACAGATTATGCTAGAAACAGAAACAGTGATATGGGAGTTTTTTTAATGTGAGAAAAATTGATATGTTGCATTTTTTAAAGAAACATTTGTCTGAAGAAATGCAGTTTTATGATTTACTTCAAATAAATAAATACTGGGGGGCAATATTGCCCATATATGAATCACTGTCATAGTTCTAACTTCACTGTAACTTCCAACCTAAAGGTAACTTCAGCTGCAATGCGATTTTAAGAGGCAGTGTCGGAGGAGAAAGGTGACACAAGGTATGAAGGTGATGACCCTGATGACAGAGGGTATAATATTTGGCCAGTAAAAATAAGTTACTTCTTGATCTACATGGTCTGACTGTGGCAGTCACTTTGGAGAGAGTTCTGTGACTGTGCCAGCATATCTGTGAGGAGGCAGAGTGTATCACTGCTTAGCATTCTGCCCTTACCTGTGGTGAGGTGCACCTTGCTGACTTCCCTTGGGCTTCCCTTTGAAGGGCTGTAGCATCCACCCTCATGGAGCTTTGACACTGGATGTGTGAGGCTGAGCAGCCCTAGAGGAAAAAGAGGACATAACAGGGGTGATGGCTGCCAGGTCAGGCAAGCAACCTGGAATTCAGTGTGATGAATGACCGGCTCCTGGGGCTGCTTTAGACCACCATGGGTCTGTGGGACAACCATGGCACACTCATGGTTCATGAGCCTTCATTATAAGCTGTTCTCTGTGCTCTACAGAGTGATTTCTGTGTGAGCAGAAGCCCTTCTGCATAATTCAGTTTGAAGGGTTGCCTGCCTTTGAAGGGTTGCCTGATTTTTAAGTTGGAATAAAATCTGGTTTTTTGTCTAATTATTGGTAAACTGCCCTTTCTTTCTTTTTTTTTCCTTTTTTTCCCTTGTTTTTTACTGCAGCTAATACAAACTTGACTGATTTTCCCTCCCGAAGGAAAACGTTTGTGGTTTCTCACATATGCAAAGTTGTGGATGACAAACAGAAAGATATAGAGCATCAATGCATTCATTCAAGGGGGAAAAACCCCTGCAATCATACAAAATTTACCCCTGGAAACAGACACTTTAAAACTGGACCACACTTAATACATTTTCAAAGGTATGATGACATTCTGAAGGAGGGTTTGGGATAAGTTACAAAGGTCATGTGGGGACAGAGAAATATCTTTTGTCAGTACAGTCACCCCAAGGAAATCAACAGAACCAGATTCCTTTCTTATTCCGAATTTCATCTCTGCCCTCTTCATCTTGATCTTTGCAGCTTTCTCACCTTTCCCCCACACCCACAGCTACACTCAATGTCTGCAAACCTCCCACCTTCCCCATCTGCACTCTCCTCTCCAGCCTGGCTCTGTGTTTGCCACATGCCTAAGGAGTCAGCAAAGTCATCATCTGCTCCTTTCCTCACCCTCTAACTCTGCTGTGGAGATGCAGTCTCCTCCTCACCTGTTATCTTCTACATGTTCTTGACTTGCCCAGTACACCTCTAGGAAACAAATCTCCTTCTCTTGACATCTTGATACTGGAACTGAAATGTTGCTTTCTTGTCAATATACAAGTCTTATTAAATTTTCTGACAGAATTCAAAGTTCCATGAAGTGGAAGAAATCTCAAGATAACTGATCCCACTTTTACCACTCTAACAGTGAACTGTGTGGTGAATATTGTATCATCCTGTCTTCCCTCAACTATAAGCTATTTTTCACAAAAGTATTTCTGTCTTAGTTGCATTGCTGTACATCTCATAAGACTCTTTCCCTTTTTTTGTTGTATCTAGTTTTGCCTAAAGTTTTCCAGACTCCAGGTTTTGCTTTGCTTTTATTTCTGTGAGCAATTTGGCTTTAGCTTCTCTTTACTTTTGAAGCTCTTCTGCTAGTGCCCTGCTTCATGATCTGAACACCAATGACCTTTGTGAAAGCAAACAATTTTTCAGTCTTTGCTTGGTAAAGAACACATTGAAAAGCAGTATCCCATTTCCTCTGAAATGTCTGGGTTTTTCACCTGCTAAACTTTCATCAGCAGAAATGGAACACTTCTTTCATTTCTAGTTTCTCAATGTGTCTTAGATTTTTGCCACTGCTATATGCAGCCTGAATTACACTGCACCTCTGAGAGATTTCTTATCATACAGTAAAGAGAATCAGCAAATACAGTGACAGCTTCAAATACATTGAAACATTGGAAAAGCACAGAAGAAAATAATTGCCATTTAATTTGTGTCATTAGGCTAGACTGAACACAGCTCCTTTCAGCATACCATCTGTCTTAGACTGAATGGAAAAGTTTCTTATTAAATGATGCATTTGCAAGGGGTTCACATCTGCAGAACCAACAAAATCTTTTAGCAACTGTTCAATCTAAAGAGATCTAAGGACCTAAGTCACCTTTGAAAGAATATTCTTGAAATAGTTCTTTACTTCAATGTCAGAATGGGTTGTTCAGTACTGTTGTGCATTTGCAATTCTACATTTAATAATGGCGTTATCAAATGGGACTGTGGAAAGAGCACCCACTGGACAGAGTGACCTGGTATGAGCTGAGAAGGCCTGCAAATATCTCAGGCTTTTTAACTTCCCAAGTACACTCCAGGTTTTCAAACCTATATGATGTGAGAGCTTGAAATTTTGACAGCTGTAAGGAGGCTGTGAGTGTGGAAAGAGAAGGGCACTGTGAGATCACCAGCACTGCTTAGTCATGGATCTTGCTTTGCCACCAGGCAGTGATAAATGGTAGCAACAATTGCAGCATATGTTCAGTCAGTAATGAATGCATTGCAGACTACAACAGTTTTTGCTCTTGTCAGGTTTCCACTGTGTTTGTTCACTGAAGAGAATGATGAGTTTACTCTTACTTGAGCATTCACCTCAAATGTGTTTGTCTTTAATAATCTCTTTGTTTGAAGCGCAGGAAATGACTGTGTGCCAAAAAAAGGACTAAATATTTGGATAGCAGTCCAGAAAGGTCATGCTATTATGCACAAGGATAAAGATAATCCATCTGTGATCAGCTGTCTTATTTAAAAAGCAAATAAAATGGCCACCTCCAGATATGATTAATATGTCCGGTAACCAGACTATGCATGCATGGCTGCTCCAGAAGTAGGACACAGCAAAGCTGCTGCTGTGCTACACACAGACAGTTAATCCAGTAGGTCCAGCACGTGTCCAAATTGACAGGGATGCACAGATTGATAATATGGACAAGCATAATAACACTGACACATCTGGATCTTTGTGTTACACTGACCAAAAAGGCCTGGCTGCCCTGTACTACAGGTTTTGGGTCAGTGAGATCCACTTTGATATGAAGACACTGGAGGTGTGGGCAGGCAGCTGTCTTTGGCATTAGAAGGGTGGGAGCTGCAGCAAAACCACCTCAGCCCCATGGGACTGAGCCCAGACTGCATTGGAAGATGGGCCAAGATATGTGGGGCAGCAGTGGAGTAGGAAAATCCTATTGCCCAGTAGGAGAAGGGGTTATCCTACCCAGCCAAAGCCCCATCAGCAGCAGAAATAGCCAAACTGTGTCTCCCAAGCTCTTTGTAGGAGGAGGCTGTGTCTTTGTTCTTCCCTTTCTTCTTCTTTCCAGGGGATCTACCAAGGAAAGCTTGGCATTGGACCATCATGCTTGGGGAAGTACAACTAAATTTGGGCTATGATGGTAAGAAGTTGTAATGGCTGGTTTGTCACATTCTTCTGCTACAGAGGTCTGGTTTTTGGTCTGATACAGAGAAGTGGGGACGGGGCTCGTTCTTGCAAAGCAAGATGTATGTGAGCAGTCCTGTAAAAACCAGCAGATCCACTCTGAGAGCAAAACTACGTACATGCAGTTTACCTAATCTGAGATTGCCTTTTAAACAGCTATTTAATTTAAGGATTGCACTCCCAGTTTCTCAGGCTCCTCACAAGGGAAAATGTGGTGATAAATGATACTTTGGCACTGGCTATCACTCATTCTGATAACAGCTGGTAGACTGCATTACTTGACTTAAATGGGCATTAAAATTTAATTGTCCTTAATCAAATTATCCTATCACAAATAAAACAACCTTGCTGAACTAATTTTCTTAGTGTTTTTTTATGGTGAATTCTTCTATATTTATTTTTACTTGTTCATTGTCAGAGAAAGGAGAACAAATGGGATATTCAAATGCCAGCTTCTCCAATTCACCAGCACCCTACCAATTAGGAGTCAAATAAACATAAATAGCTAAAGCCCAGCCTTTCTCTGTGTGGGATGTTGTGTTACCTGGGTTATTCTTAATTTCAACATGTGTATAATACAACTAGAGGGAAAATCATCTTTTGTCTTGTGTTTTCGTTTCCTGGTAGTACATGTTTCTTAAGGAAAAACATACACTACATGTTAGCCATCCTTCTCCATCTAAATAATGAAAATATATTCTAGAACTCTGAAAATAACATCAGTCTATTTTAATAGAGAAATGGTGTCTGTTTCCTGTGTATGACTATCCATTATATAGGCACTGAGATTACTCCTCAGCTTCATTTTGAGATGGCAAGATTTTATTTTGCTAGATAGATTTTTCTTTTTAATTTGAGTATTTCTTTTTAATTTGAGTATTTCTTTTATCCAGCTGTTTTTGAAAATCAAGCATTACTTTCCTGATCCCATGACAGAGAAAGAGTTCAACTTCAGAAAAAAATTCAGTAAAAATGTATAAATGATGTTCAGGTTCTTGTATGGAAAAGCAACAGTAAGCGCAGGAGATATGATAAATTCACTAAACTGGGAGAAAGCAAAACACAGAGCAGATTGTCAAGACCCAAGCATAGCCCTGAAATTGTTACTCTGAGTAGCAAAGGGAAGATGAGAAATAGCTAAAAGTTGATTTGAAGGTGATACCAAACAATGACATCCCTGTTGCAACATTTTCATGCTTCAGCCTGTGTTTTATGGCTTGCTACAAATGAGGTATAAGGATCTGAGTATGACTGAATAAACAGAGGATGCTTCTCACTTCAGCACATGTCAGCACATATAGCCCAAAAAATAACTTGATGAGGTGGGTGTTTTAGTTCAAAAAT